CATTATTGAATCGAAGGATCTTAATATGTACACCAAATTGAGTGCGAATTTCAGCATGAAACTTTTAAAAAATAGAAAACACTTAACTCATTTCTTTCATAAGATAAGCCATGTCATCCTTGAATAATTATCAACAAAAATTACAAAAATATTTGTAATATTGTATGATATTATTTTATTTGGACCCCAAATGTCTGTATGGACAAAAAAATAAGGATTTGACATACGACTATCAATCCTAGACTTAAAGGGAACATGATGGTGTTTTCCATACTGACATGACTCACATTCTAAAGTAGAAAGACTATCCAACGATGGAAGAAGTAACTTGAGTGCTTTAAGAGATGGATGACCAAGTCGACAATGCCACTGAAGGGGAGAAAGAGATGATTGAAGAGCTATTGACGAGCCACCACCATCAAGGTAATATAATCCACCAACTTCATACCATCTATCAATCTTCATCCCCATTTTGAGATACTAAGAAACACAAGAAGGGTAAAAAATGATGGAACAATTAAGAGACTTGGTTAATATACTAATAGGCATAAGGTTAAAAGGAAATTTGAGAACATATAAAACTAAGGACAAGGGTAAGGAATCTAGGTCAACATTACCAACACCATAGATAGAWGATGTGGAGCCATTAGCAAGGGTAACTGTGTGTGATGTAGAATACTGAGAAAGAGAAGAAAACACACATGGAGTCCCAGTTATATGATCAAAAGCTCTAGAATCGATAATCCAATGGGAGGATTTGGATGCCAGACAAGCCATACCTAAGTGGGCAAGGGTAGCAGATGCCAGACAAGCCAGACAAGCCATTCAATTCATTCTAAAGATTCCTCATGCTAGCATAGTTTTCAAGGCGTCAAGGCGAGGCTAGGTGACATGGGGGTGCCTTGTCGCTTAGTCGCCTAGGCGATTGATTTTTGTAAGTAAAAAATACATATCCTAAGTAGTTCCCTAGGTTTCATAACCATCTTTCCTTAATAACTATCCATAATTTTCATAAGAAAATTATGAACTGCATGTTTAAATCTAGAAAATCAACATATTTATGAGAAGAAAAAGAAGAAAGAAAGAAAATTCAAAAAATATGGGGATTGAACCCCTGTTTTTGTTATTGGAAAAGAAGAAAAGAAAAGGTGGAAGAAGAAGAAGAAGAAGAAGAAGAAGAAGAAGTGGAGGAAGAAATCTGTTGATTAGGACAAAACTTTAAGTTTTTCCCTTACTTATTGGTTCAGATTCTGAAGTCTTTGAGGGTTCAATACAGCAGTTAGCAATATTTGTGTTGATTAAACCCTAACAAATAAGAAAATAATAAAAAGAAATTAGTTTATAAACACAAAAATGAATATTTCTGTTTAAAAATGTCTATTTTATAATTATAATCTCAAAAAAGTAACAATATAAAAGTATTTTATAAGACAATATAAAAAATTCTTGGTGACTGGGCGAGGCAAGCCTCCAAGGGCGCCCACCTAGGCGTCGCCTTGACAACTATGCATGCTAGCATGATACTCAAAACTTTGATTATCTTGCTAAAGATTAAAATACTCTTGGTAAAGCTGATATACTCTGGTAGTGTTATTCAGTGATTTAAAAGGCGCGCATAGGCGCACAGGCGAGGTGCATTTTAGGGTATGCGCCTCGCCTAGGTCCTAGGAACAATCCTTGAAAAAGGCGCACGCCTAGTGCGCCTGATGCGCCTCAGCCCATGCGCCTTTTGAAAATTTGGTGCTTTTTTGCCTTTTTTGAACAAAATGGCTGGGCCGGGGGCTCCGCCCCCGGACCCCTGTGCCACACCCCCAATTTGGTAATGTTATTCATTCATTCTTAAAAGGAAAATAAAACTATAAAATCATTATTTTTTGTGTGAAAACTAAGAATTTAAGACCTAACGTGGGCTTGTTTGGGCTTGCCTCAAGGGCGTGGCACAAAACCGGCTCGTAGAATCAGGAATGTAATATGTTTTACATTACATTAGCTATGTGAAGTACTGCAATTGAGTGAAAAAAGAAATTAGAGGTTTTACATGCTTGAAAATGTTTTATATGTTTGAATTTATTTTTAAATTCTCATTTGAATATGCTTTACATCTTATGTTTATGTATTTTAATTTTAGACAATAGTTATTTTAAAACATTATTTTTAAATTTTAGTTTATATTTTTTATTAATGTTATGTTTAATATTTTTTTTGAAGTTTTTGGCATTTTGTTTGACTTTTTTGACTTTTTTATTTTTTAGCATTTTTTTTTATTTTTGCGCTTTACATAAAAAAGGTGCGTGCTCGCCTTGCGCATTGCGCCTCAAGTGCAAATTGACCCCTGTGCCTTTTTTGCGCCTTGTGCTTTTAAAACACTGGTGTTATCTTGTCCAAAGTATAACTTCTTTGCATGGTCCCAAATCTCTTTGGTTGTATTTAAGAACATAAAATTCACACTGATCTTAGTTTCCATTACTGTTCCACAACCATGTCTTAATCTGTGCATCTTCTAGTTCCCAATCACTGTAGCCCTGAGAATTAGTTGAGGGTTTTTTCCTCTTTCACATGCTTCACCTTCTTCTTAGCCCTAAGAAAGACTTACACAGATTTAGCGCAAGGTATTTAATTCTCACTATTCAACTTAATAGAGGTCATCTGCACACTGATATAATTAGGGGGAATCATAACACTAGATTTATCTTCACTGCTGTCTCCCATTGCAGCCATAAAACAAAAGCTCCACTCACTAGTACTTCACTTGCTAGCCACTACTGCACATATGTTTTCAACCCTAACTGTCACTGCAGTCCTACTGTTTCAGCACCATAGACACTCGAGTACACCAAAAACACATACCACCAGACCTGCAACTGAGTACTACCTAGTTCACACTGTATCATCCGTATAACCTACTTATTTAAACTTTACAAATAAGTCCTGCACTAATCTGATCACCCACCACCTGAAATAGCCCTCTTAGATCCATCAATTAGAGGGTTTCTACAAACCACATGAAACTACATTACACAACCAACTGGAGGCATGAAAACCTCTAAAAAGGAAAAATGACAACTCCTTTTCAGCCTTTCTGTGAAACTCCAAATGATCGATGAGATCTCTGCAGAGATCTAGGGCAAAGGACGAACCGGAAAATTCTGGGTTGACCTGAACTGTCTACAGTGGCTCTGATACTGTGTTACAGAACAGATCTATACTGGTTTCAGCCCTAGATTAGCAGAGAATACTAGCAGAAGAGAGAGAGAGAGATAGAACTGGTTTGAAGTAGAGAAGAAGATTTCTCTAGTCAGCCACATATTATTTATGTGTTTCTGATTAAATACATAGACTCTTATGCCCCTAATTAAGTATGGAACATAGTACTTAAAACCTGAACATAATAGACATTACATCAGACTATTAATATAAACTGAAATGACAAAACTACCCCTGTATAGTCGATTCTAACAAACACATTGACAGCCATGTTCCTAGACAATTTTTTTTCCCAGGTACCTAATTTTTTTCCTGAGCCCCATGAAGATGACAGCAATGATTAGTTTGTGTTCTGCTGATATCTCTGCCCATGATCCAATAGGAGATGATATTGCTAAAGAATATGCAATTGTACTGAGGGTTAGCTTTCTGACATGGTGATAATGTTTGATACAGTGATATCATATTACAATGTATGCAATTGTTTATTCTTAAGTTATTCTGCTACTTCTTTTTTGTTTATTGGAGATCCATGATAGTTGGATATCCCACACCACAGCTTGTGGCTCAGTTTTGTATAGAATAAGTTGCTTCTAATTCACATTTGTTTAATAGTTGCTAAAGTGCTTGAATGTAATCAGTCTTACAGAGAGTAAAAGAGGTGGCAGTACTACCCCTTTTTCCACTAAAGAGTTGTCACCACCACCATCCCTCCTCTTAACACCACCCGATCTATGATCTTCAAGCCACCCCCTCCTCCCCTCAAGCTCTGCGCCAGAGGGCACAGATAGGTACCCTTTTTGGCTTTCTATTCTCAGGGGTGTCACTAATGGACATATTAGTTTGGTCCAAATGACATCAATATGTATATTTTTGATAATCCCCTGTTTAGATCTGCCCACCTGTATCGATCCGCCTTTCTTTTTCCATCAATTTGCAAAACCAATCTTGTCAGAGTCAAACATTTATAGGGGGAACCTTTCTGATTCATCATGTTCATGAAGCAACTGAAATAATAGCTAGAAAACACACTAAAACAAATAAGCATGGTGTGTACGTTTTTGTTGTGGCCCCATCAAGTTTGTCTAAATTGCATAATTTTGAGCTCGTTAGTTAAGTAATTGAATGAGCTTTCAAATGGTATCAAGTCTATTATATTATAATGCCTTGGGATAAAGTGGAAGGATAAGCTACTTGGGAGAGAATGTGAAAATGATTCCAGTTGTATATAAATGATAGGTCAGACTTTGAAACAACAATGCAGAACAAATTTAAGTTGAAAATGGTAGAAGACATTAAATATTAAGTTTTGTAATTATTTAATGTAAGCATATGAGTCACATAGTATAAGATAAATATTATGCCTATCCTGCAAAATTTTTGAAAAATGTTAGTCTTTTCTACATAGGCCACAATCATGATCAAATATCCACTTATCAACTAAATACCTGTACAAGAGTTCTGTGTCATGTTGGATACTACAATTTTTTGTATAAATTCATATCTGATACCATATCCAGCTATGTCCTTGCTGTATCTGGGTAACATAATTTATCAAAGGAGTTGTAGTAATTGCACTTCATTCCATCTACTTTTGCTTCTGACAATCTTGGTTGTAAAAACTGTGTACTTTGCACATACTGCCTCAAGCATAATATTTTGGTCTTAGGCCTGCCACCATCTGTTGCTATGTGAACATGGTTATCCTATTTGTCATTTTTTTACAAGTATTATCCTATTTTTCATTCTTACTGAACATCTTAGAAAACAACTATAAAGTTACAATTTCCTCCTAGGACAAAAGCTGGAATGACATCTGCTGCAGAAAGCATCACAGAGAGTCTTCGCCGCACCCGTCAATTGATGGTTCAGGTTATGATTTGCTGTACTGTTTTAACACATCGACCCTTCGTAGTTGTTTATATTGCAACTCATGGGATAAGATTCTTACTGTGGATGTTAAATGTATCAGGAGGTGGAAAGAAGTGCAAACACATTAGTGACCTTTGGTATGTGGATTCTATGTTATAAAACAGCTTGTCAATTTCCACTGCTCCTGTTTACATCTATAGCTTTCCAGTGGAACAGCAATTCCTGCTCCTTTTAAAATGCTTATGTTGCTTTCCTTTATGATGATGTTCTGTTTGATACCTTTTTGTGCTTTCTGTAGAGAATGAAAAAGTTATATAGGATAAGACCAGTCACATAATTAATTTAGAAAGATCTAGAGTCCAGCAGGTAACTAATATTAGAAGATCTTGAATATAACAAATGTAGGAAGCCTGATCGGATAACAAATACAGGGAAAGATCAATGTTCAATTAAGTTAGAAAAGATTTTTGTTTTCTACTTTTATTCTAAAGGGGTTTTCTAATTTCCTTCCAATGAGTAATAATTGGTGAAAGGATGAGACGACAAATACTTCTGTCGAGAGAGACCTGGAGAGGCTTTTGAATTTTGTATAAAATTCTATACCAATTTGGTTTCATTGTTTCAGGTGTTTTCTTATGTACAAAAAATAAAAATTAAATATAAAAAAGAGTGTTTTTGTATATATTTGTTTATTTGCTTGCAAAGTTATCTTTGCATCCTTAAGAGAGATTTTCTGTAGTATATTCCACATCTCCAACTGAATGGTTAAAGAGGCTATGATTGTTGACAAGTTCAATGCTGGAATTAAAACTGATGATAAATGCAAATGTCATGAGTTGTTCAGAGGAATCAACCGGAGTATTAAAGAAAGCAGAAAGTGAGTACAAGGGACATCGCTCACTGCTTATGCGGACAAGAAACCTACTGTCCACAATGCAACGTCAGGATGTTATTGACAGGTAGAGAAAAGAAAAGCATTTATATTCATTTGTTTCACAACTGGATTTCGTGTGACTTAAAAATAGCTTACAATGAAGTTCTATGTGGACAGGGTGATACTTGTAGTTGGGTTTATCTTGTTCTCTTGCGCTGTTTTATACGTTGTTTCAAAACGTATTGGGCTGCTCAAGTTGCAGAGAAAACTTACTTCTGCTATCAAGGCAGGGATGATTGGACAGGGAGAAATGAGACCGGGGGATGCTGCTGAAGATGGCTTTAAAATTTTGCATGTTCATGACAATGTACTGCCCAACATAGATGTCCCATTGGAACATAGGCATGATGAATTTTGAATCTTTTTGTCAAATTAATGCAGTTTTTTCCGTTCCTATTATGTTATCTGTACACAAAGAGCCTAAATTGAGCCCTCTCATGACTAGCTTCCTAGTGTGTCTTAAGTTTGGCTGGTTTTCATTTCACTGGCATTCATTTTTCTCCTGCTGAAGATGAATATTCCCCTGTGGGACAATTATCAAAAAAAAAAAAAAAACCCTGTGGGACATCCATCCGGTCCAGTGTTAAAAGCCAGAGTGCTATTCTATACTTATTTTTTGACTGGTGAATAAAAGAAACTTTTCCATGGTTGAGCTCATCAACTCTGTTCAGCAGGCGGGTTTTGGACAGAAATAACCCAGAATTTGGAGACGTACCAGAGAATCTTGACTTTTCCTTAAAATTTGGAGGTCCCTTGTGAATGGCTTACCAATACTGGAGCTTCATGTACTAGAGTATTACATTGTTGTCTTGTTGGTAACTGGTGAGTAATTTTTTCACCATTTTCTTTGGCGAAGTTTTATGCCTGTAAGCCATCTTGAACTATGAAAATCATTCAAGCATAGGAATCATAAAGATCTTACTGGAGCTTCATGTACTGGAGTATTACATGGCACACTGCACTTGCAGGGTGAGACTAATATATGTTCGTAGGTCTTTGTTTTTACCTCTATGTCTGCAAACGGTAACACAGTTGATAATCCAAGTTCTAGTAATCATAAAGATCTTTCAAGTCTTTGGACTATTTACATTGCAGGCAGAAGTATAAAAGAAAAAAAAAAAAGGCAAATTTTTTAGACATTCCTTATGGTTTAATTAATTGACTAACTATATCCGTTTACATATTGTCTTAAGGTACCTCACGATTTTCTGACAATTGACATTGCTGTTAAATAGTAATGGAAAAACAAAATATCGAATTTACCCTCAATTGTTTTTCAAAATTTGAAAATAAAACTCATCTGATGAAAATTTTTAAGTCGGTGCAATGCTTAGCCTCAGCCCATTCCCACTTCCGGTGACTTTTTTGACTCACGGGTACTAGGTCTGAATGATGTCTCTTCAACAAAAAAAAGGGTTCTTAGTTGATATCTTTGATTTTCCTATCAGTTGATCTCTCTGTTTATCTTTTTTCTTCTTTTTTTTTTCCTATTTTTTCTCTTTTGGATGAAGAAGTACAAGCAAAGAGACGAGCTCAGGGACACCATGGCCACAACAAAGTATCGGTTCAAGCCCACTATCAAAGGTAACCAAGAGTTGTAAAGGTAGATCTGGCCTTGAAAGAACACGTCGTCGGCTGCGCACATTTCTGAATCTATCAAAAGAAAGGCACCACATGAACCAAACTCGAAGTCCTCTTCGGCCTCAAGAGCTTTAATTTCCCCATTTGAATTCTTCTCTCTCTTGATCCAAATCCCAAAACTGCCATGGATCATGGATGGTCAGAAGAGCTAGGCCAAGGTAATGATGACCCAGTTCCACTACTCCGTTGAGCAGGTAAGAGGGATGATCTACTATATGCTTCGTTTCTAAACAATGATGGAGTGCAAACTAATGCAACAGACTTCACGAGACAGATCTCCATCGTAGCCTACTCCTTGATGAGGAAGATGACGATCTATAGTTGTTTCCGAGCCTTTGATGCAGTGTAAAACAGGGGATCGACCCTTTTGAAACGAAAGGATTAATCCAGGTGGATACTAGGGAAAACTATCTTGGATTGTGTTTCATGCATGGGAGAGGTGACATTGTTATGAAAACTAGAGTCACCACCGTAAATTGTAGTAGGTGGTGCGTCAATGGGAGAGAAAACTGAAACAAGGGCATCATGGAAGAGTGGTGAGGGAAAATCAGAGAGAGGAGAGAGAAATGAATGATAAGAATGTGGCGAGGAGGGGAGAAACGATGGCAGGGAGTGGGAGATATGAGGGAGAATGTGAGAAACAGATGAAAACATTGCAATTGCTTGAGTTGTAGTGGCGACTGTGTATCTGTATGAGGTTAAACAAAGAAGATAAAAAAAAAAGGGAGAGAAGGTGGCCGGATGCTGGTTGAAAAGGAATGAGTGAGAGAGGATGGCGGAGAGGAGAGAGAGGTGGTGGCAATTCAGTGGTCGAATCGCTTTTGTTACAACGACAGTTTGACAAGGGAAAAGAAGGAAGATGAAAAACTAAAATAAAAAAAAAAATGAGAGAGAGAAAAGAAAAAAACCGGAGCAAGCTACCATTGTTTAAAATTTGTCTCGTTTGCCTCCTGTTCCACTACATCGGAGATGGAAGTTTCCGGAAGGCCCGAAACTGAAGACGGTAGTTGGACAACTCCTCGGAGTCGGCAACTGAGGTACCAAAACGATACGGATGGCGGAATTGAGTTGGATGACCTCAAGCATCGGAACGAAACATGAATTGTAACAATACCACCGACATTCCTCGGTGGTCTGCATGGACCACAAATCGAATAACGATGCCAATTTTCTCTAATTTTAGAGAAATGGTATTATTGCCATTTTTTTAAAAAATATATGAATGGATTGTGACAGAATCTTAACGGAAGAGGAGTAATTAGTCAATTGTCAAAAAACTTGAGAATATTTTATGATAATATATAAACAATAAAGATAGAATTAGTAAATTAACTAAACCATAAGAATAGTTTAAGAAATTTACCAAAATACATAAAAAAGCAATTGAATCGAGGAGAGGGACGACGATTAGGAGGCCCCAACTCACTAGTTTTCTGAAATCCCTGATACATCATACAAACTGCTTCAGGACCAAACAAACAAGCTATTTCTTCCCTTAACTCCAGCAAAATTGTGGTGAAAAGGGTGAGTTGGATGAAAGCCCAGATGAGCTCAATCTTTGTGTTTAGAAAGACCCATTCAGAGACAACTTGGAAAAGACAAATTGCACGAAAAGTGGCGTTCATTTATAAGCTTCAATCTGTGTAGGTGACAAAAAATTTGCATCTACTCAACGTGGTTTTTAACTCTAATTTCAGCCAAAGGTCAATTTTTATCTCGAATGAAAATGGTGTTATCATATCTAACTCTTTCTTTCTTTCTTTCTACAACTAATCATACTTAACACTAAAGAATCCCGTCCAATGTAGTTTAGCTTCAGTGGTAAACAAATGAGGGCCGATTGGTTCTCTCATATAAGATGCCCTTACATTCTCGTCTAATTCCCCCTTTAACTATGTTTTTGTTTTTGAAATTGCCGAATAAAACAGAAAATACATATTCATGAACTGCGTTTTTGCATGTATTTTGTTTTGAGAAGCAAAAGTCATTTTGATTTTATTTAAAAAAAAAAAAACAAAAAGCAATTCATGTTCTTTAAACCATCAAAATGATCATTTTAAAAGTAAATTTGAGTATGATTACGATACCAAAAAACATAATATTTGAAAAACTTGCAACCAATCAACTGGTATCATAAAAGTAGTAACCGATTGAATAGTATTTATCAAAATTCATGAAGGGTTTTTTATTGGTCAAAGCTCTTCTAGAATTGTCTTTCCGGCAGCATAGAGTTTCCTAACAAATTTTGAAGTATGGATACTGTTTTATTTATGAAAGATGATGAGTGAGCAATTAGATGAAAACATGCTCTTTAAATCAGAAATCCAAGAACTTGTGTTGGGTTCAGCTTTGGAAACAAAAAGCACATACACAGTCAATAACATGGTTTCATGCTTTTTGGTTCATTTTGGAAATAGTACAAATACAAATATGTATAGTAAAAATATATACAAAATACAAAGGATTTCAGTCTACACATTTGTATTTGTACCAAGGTTCAAATGTCGTATCAGGGGCTTCTTGATACACCCCTACAGAGGGTGTTTTAGGGTCTGAGCTGGTTCAGGGGTTAGGAGAGCCTTGTCTAAACCAGTTGCAGAAGAAAAACTAAAAAAAAAAAAAGGTGAGCCAGGATACAGGTTAATACGCCCTTACCAGCATATTGACCTGAATCGATATTTTAAACTTTGATTTGTACTTCCAAACTGAGCCTTACTATAATTGTAATGCAAATAAATTTGCACTGATGCAAAATTATTGCAGTGCAAATGATTTGAGTGTAAATTCTGACCTATTTTTGTTTTAGCTTATTTTGTTTGATTGCAATGCAAATGAAGTAAAACAAGGCATGGGGCAAAATAAAGTAAAACCCAAAAACAAATTAAATGATAATTTACATTTTTTCATTTACACTCTGATACATTTGTACTAGTACAAATAAAATTGCATTGCAATCAAACGAAGCCTCAGGTTCAATTTAGAAAGAATACAAATACAAATATGTAAAGGGCAAATACATACAAAATAATGCAAGTACAAATTTGTATTTGTATTTGTACTCAGTTTGGTAAGAATATGAATGCAAATATGTACAAGGCAAATAGATACAAAGTATAAGGTTTTGAACTCTACATATTTGCATTTGTATTCCTACCAAACTGAGCCTTAGACTCCATTTGGAAAAAGTACAAAGACAAATATGTACATTACAAAACCTTGTATTTTTTATTATTTTATATGTATTTGTACTGTACATATTTGTATTTGTACTCCTTCCAAACTGTGCCTCGAGAACTAATTTGTTTCCAAACAATATTGTTTTAATTTGTTTTTGGTACTCTCAACAAGAAAAGCAATTCACAAGGAAGTATGGAACACCACCTTAACATCTCTTAAAAAAATTATCCAGCTAATTGATAAAAGGGCAAATTTGTTAAAGTACCCCTATAGAAATTGACTAGCTCTATTCTTCCTGTTTACATATTGTATTAAACTATCCCCAAATTTATTAACAAGTACCGTCGCCAATTAAGCACTAAGGGGAAAAAAACAAAAAAATCAAATTTGCCCTTCACTGTTTATCAAATTTTTAAAATAAAATCTAACCGATGAAAAAATTTCTAGAAGATGAAGAAGCAGATCACAGCTCCAACGATGATGTTTTGGAGACCGTAAAACCTCAGAACCCCATCTCCGTCTCCGTCTTCTGGTCTGAACTTGTTATGAAGAAAATATCAAGTCGGTTTACCCGCTTTGAATCCCATCTAAGCCCGAAACATCTTGTGGATATCTTCCATGACTTTCTTCTTCCCCTTCATGAAGAAAACCCAACTTCCGCCCCATAGTCAATTGGTTGTGTTGAAGTTGAACATCAACAACCTGATCCCTGAATTTGAGCTTGTCCGGATGGATTTCCCGAAAGACTTGTGGGATCTCGATCTTGGGTGGCCTTTTTTCTCTTCAAAGAACAACAAGAAGAAACAATTGAAGAAATACCAGTAATATATGAAGAAGACGAAGAATCAAAGTGCTTGGCCCTTTTTTATGGCTGCTATGTTGTGGGTGTGATCATTTGAAAATTTTCAAAATAAAAACAAAATATCAATGCTATGTCGTGGTGGGTGGGTGTCCAAAAGATAGCACATCGTTGGATTGTCTTAGCGGTTCAACCAGTTAAACAACTATAAAGAAAACCAGACCAGGACCCCAGAACCCCGGTTCATAGGGTAACTGGTTGACCATCCGGGTTTGAAACAATTGGTTGAAAGAGGTGTGGTGTGTGAGCTCACCCTAAGAATGGAGG